AAAATGGAACTTAGGCCTATTTTAAGAGGCTCGGCCTGTCATGGAATCACTGCTGCCTTACAAGAGAGAATTCTAATTACAAGTGCCGTTTTAACAATTGGTTAGCTGAACTCAACAAAAATTAAGTATCAGTTCTGCTTAACTAATGAGAACCAGCTGAATCCCACCACTGCATACCACCCAACAATACGTTTGCTAGACACATACCCCAAGGAACTAACACAGAACACAAACACATACATGTAGGTTCAAACAGCCCAAATTCCCATCAGGAGAAGAATAGACAAAGCAAAACAAAGAAATGGTCTAGCACGTACACACAAGGGAATACTATGCATTGTGGGGAAACCAGGCCCCCCCCCCCAACTAATTGCAGGTTCGGGAGGTGCAATCGTATGGTTAAAATAAATAAAGGTTATAGTAAAGTCATAGAGAGTGAGAGAGATAGAGAAAGCAAAATAAAGAAGTCACACACATTTCATGATAGTATGCTCACCTCAACCCTTCTTGGTGGTCCACATGGGGATGTGGGAGGAAAGGCGGGCAGGTGAGAGAGAGTGCTTTATTTCTAGCCAAGGCTTATATATCTTTGGGAGGTGTGAAAGCCCCCCAACTACAAGTAAAGACATATGTCACAGGAAAGGGTTGTACTATAGGTAATAGAGTAATGGAAGGGGACGATCTAGGGGTATACATGCTATAGGAAGGGGAAGGGTTAGGGGTCAACATGTGACAAGATGGGCGGACCCCAGATTCAATATGGAAGCCTAACCTTGGTCACCCTTGAGTGGGCTTGACCTCCCTGGGCCCTCCTTCAGGGAAACAATCTACTACTATCCTTATCAGAAGGGAGTGGGTCCTACATAGGGTGGGACAGACTAGGCAGTCTGATTGCTCTAGATGGCTGATAACCCTTAGGGAACAATCTCTGATCTGCTTTTCTTGACCTCCAAGTGTATAGTCACTTGCCATGTGTAGCAAGCAGCTAGGTTTGACATATATTTGGGGAAGACAACTTGGGAGAAATCTTTCTGTATCCCACAATGCATGCCTAAACACCATCTGTGTAACCCATGAAACACCTCATGAGACGGAGGAACCTG